CACTAGAAAGGCAATATGTCAATCAATGGAAGGATAACGGAGGAGAAGGAGGAGAGGAGGAGGAGGAGAGGAGGAGGAGGAGAGGAGGAGGAGGAGAGAATAATGATTGACAGGAGTTGCCCGCCAGAGGCTACTGCTGGGGCCTACTGAGCTGCCTTTGCCAAGACAGCTGGGCAGCTGAGCAGAGCAGGGCGGAGTAGGGGATCTTGGGACACAGACCGATCCACCCAGGGTTTACTGTGTAGGAGACGGGGTGTCTCATAGATGGTCACACACCCATGTTAATTGCAATTCTTATTTCATTCATTGAAAGTTATTTAAAGAGGGGAAATCATAAAAAAAAATGGCACCCATTCACCTTAGACCTTTATTTTATTTGGTGCACACGGCCATGCGTTCCTCTGCCAATGTTCTGAGGTGGTTCTGAGGCCTTCTTTTGGTGATGGCTGCTGCCTGGAGTCCCGTGCCCCCCCACCCCAATCTCTCCACCCCCGGCATAAACTACTCCCATAACTCTGCATTTACGATTTCCTAATTTGATTTTTTTAAAGTGGAACGAGAAAATAAAGTCACTTGAGGAGCCATTGGAATCCCAAAGCTTCTCCAGTCTTAGGACACTTAGGCCTTTAGGGCTCTCCCCTCCTCAGCTCCCTGCAGCGTGAGCAGCGACTTGCCTCACTGAGTCTTTGCAAAGCATCCAGCTGAGTTCTAATGGAAACAGCAAATACTCTCGGTTGGCATCAGGGAGGGTCGTGCTGCTAATCACCACCAGGAAAGGACCCACACCTGCAGTTCACAGCGTGATTTCTGATTGGACACTGGTCATTTTTGTACCCTAATGAAGTTGGGGGCACGGCAAGGTGGAACCTGCCTGTGGCTCGCTGGCCCACAGGGACAGAGCTTGGCTTGTCCTTCACCTTAACTATTCCCATGCTGGTCACTCCTCATGCACTTTGATTTGGGGCCCAGGTGACAGGTCATGCTCTAGCTGGGACGTGCCAGTCTCATCAGAGAGACGTGCCATGGCCCGTTGATATCTACAGGGCACTGGCAGCTGCCACTTGCCCTCCAGTAACGTGAGCTGGACGGGAAGCTGCACACTGGCTTCAGAATAGGGGTTACTTCAACAGCTGGGCAGAGCTGGCTCAAGGTTGCAGGTGCTCCGCTCAGCAGCAGGGGGTGCTCCCTGGGTGGTTTCACCCTGTGCAGAGACCCCAGGGTGCACTCGCAGGCACCAGGTGAGATACCCACAAGGGGCCACCATTGCATGTGGAGTTCTCTGTAGATCCAAACGTCATCATGTGGCACATGGCTATCCTGGATGACTTCAGGCAAGGCAATAAGAACGAGGGTGTCACAGTGTTGGCTCTAGTTTGAGGGAGACTTTGTCCACTAAATTCCTGTAATCTGGCATCTCTCCTAAGTGATCATTGATGAAATTCTGTAGTAGGACGTCCCATTTGCTGCAGCCACCTCAAGACCCAGGCCTGGGGCTAGCACATAGCATGTGTTCAATAAAAACTGGCTGGGTGTGTGAGGGAAGGTGCTATCTTCACCTGAGCGAAGGGCCTGGTTGTGAATGGAAGCTGTGAAGTTCTCCCTGGATTGAGAGAGACAGAGACCTTTAGGGGAAGAGACGGTGCATAAAACGTGGTTCAGGTCACATTCTTTGAAAGAACGCTGTCTTGGGCCTAAATTCCCGAGGCACAACAACGACTCATTTTGGAAGTCAGGAGAAAATTGAGAAAACCAGAAATGTTGGAAGCCCCTCCCCACCCCCAGGACCCCACCCTAGAGGAAAGGAGAGCTTTGAGGAGCCAGAGAGATGGAGTAGGAGGCCAGGGTCCAGGAGAAGTCTGGGGTCTGTGAACAAGCTCTGGCCACAAGCAGAGCCTGGGGACAATACAGCAGCTCCAGCGTCCACACCCAGTGGAATCTCTATGAATCATGCCTCATTATTTGAACTGGAAATAATGAGCTGATCACGTGTGTCTGGGCCTCCTCCTGCACGCCTGGCCTCCTGGACCACAGGGCACATTTGGCGTCCAGAGCAGGACTCTAGTGTTTCCGCTCGTGGCAAGCTTTGTTTCCACCAAACCTTTTTTTTTTTTTTCTTTTCCAAATCACAGGATTGCTTTTAAGAAAACAAGACAGAAGAAGTACCAGCAGAGCTCAGGAACGGTCACTCTCCCGTGACTTCCGCGACCTTGCGGTAAACAACATCTGGGGACACCCCAGGAAGCTTGCCCGTTGCTCTCTCTGGTACTGGCCACAGAGGTGAAGACTTCAGGTTCACTGGGAACAGTTCCATGATGGTTTGAGGTGACCTGGAAGTGGCCAAGTTTTGTGGTCACCTGCCACCTGTGCAGCCTCCCTCGTGACGGGGGAGTTTCCTCGTGAGGTAAACGAGGCTGATGAGGTGGTGCAGCGTAGTCTCATCAGTGAACTAATCCATTGGTGGCTTAAGAACTTGGAAAAACTGCTGTAGATGGTGACTATGGGCAGCTGGGTGTGGCTGGAGGATGCAGGTCCCTGGGGGCATGACTTTGGAGTTCAAATTTTGTCCCTGATGAGCAGGGCTCTCTTTCTGTCTGCTTCCTGGCTGTTGGGCCCCTGAGCTGCTCTCCTCCACCACGCCCTTCCGCCATGAGGTTCTGCCTCTCCTCGGGCTCAGAGCCATGGAGTCGGCCGTCCATGGACTGAACCTCTGAAACCATGAACTAAAATAAGCTTTTCCTGCTCTTGGCTGTTCTTCTCAGGTCTTTTAGTCCCAGCGACCAGAAGTGTTTGTTATGACTAAAGGTCTTCAGGCCGAAGGATGTCCAAACCTCAGGAAGTAACTCACTGGCATTGATTGCAAGGAGGGACGCGCCCCTTCTGTATCTACCAACCCACCAGGAAGTGTGAGGCTGTGGTGCCTTCAACCATTCGGCTCCAGCCTCCCCTCACTGGACACTGCTGAGCCCTCGCAAATCTCCGCCAGGACAGGCGTCCCTTGTCCCTTTGTTCTCCCAGGTCCAGGGATTTGGAAAGGAAGTGCTGGCCACTGACTTTTCATAGAAGGAACCATTCCTTTCCAACTGTATCTGCGTCATGTCTGCGGTGTGTCCCCACCCAAGCATTTGTGAAATGAAGAATGACGTGTGGAGGACAATGGTGGCTGTCTGATGCTGGGTGGGAACATGTGGCTGCTGCTTCCTCCTCGCTCTCGAGCCAGAGGCTCCTGGTCTAACACTCCTTCTGCCAGATGAGCGAGCCTGTGTTAGCTGGGTGCCAAATCCCTTGCGGTCCACGGAGCCCCAGGCGCAGAGAACCCTCTCTGTATAACCCGGAGAGCTGTGCCCTCTTCCTGTGAAGGCACCTGAGACGCTCTCTTGGTCATCCACGCGCAGCATCCACCTCGATGCTATCCCCTCCTCAAAGGCAATCTGGAAACACTTGCATGTTTTACAAAGTTCATTTACTGCTTTTGCAGTTTAAGAAACAGGAAAGAGGGAGGAAAGCAGAGGGACGTGTCATCTTGGGGCCACAAGGTGAGGTGAAGCCAGCAGCAGGGCCCGGTCCGTGTCTTTGGTGCCAATGACACGGGTCCCAATGCTGCGGCAGAACGTGGACTTCTCTTGAGGTGGCAATCCGGTTGTCTAACTAGGTCAACAATCCTCAGGGGAAGATCTAAACTCTTCAGCACTCTTCACATCGGCATAATTGATGTCTTATGTTTGATTTTTTTTTTTTTTCCAGAGAGAAAACCTTGTCCGGTAACATAAACCCCTATTTTAATTAAGTCTACTGGGCTTAGCAGTTAGAGCGTAATTGTCAGAATATTTTTCACATGCCCATCAGACTTCTGCATAAAAAATCATCTTACTTTTTATGTCACTTTAAAAAGAGAGATTTAACCAGACACTCCTACACATACCCCATGCCTTTATATACAAGTATCTCCTCCAAAGAGAATATGGTTTTAATAGTGCCGTATTTCTCCAAAATCTTGTAGCTTTCTATTATTCCATATGAGCTTTATATTCCAAAGAATTATTAAAACCTGAGTTAAACACAGGTAATGCTCGGCACATACACAGTAACATTTCCTGGCTGTGGGTGAACCCACGGGACCTGAATCACAGCACCTGCGTTACGTCTTGGCTACGTTGCTGCTATCAACTGGAGTTAAGTTGAGCTGCCTATGGTAGGGAAACTAAAAGGAAAGAAAGCAAGAACAAGATTAAATTATTTATTTTTTTCAGAAAGAAAACGAAAGAGCTCCCCAAAGCCATCAGCAAGCCAGACCCCTTGCCAAAGTCCACACCTTGCCATCTAGAACTTGCCTTCCCCCTGGGGCGCAAGACGGCTGCCAGAGCTCCGGGCATAGTCTCTCTCCATGTTCAAGGTGGTGCCATGGAGGGCAGAGGATAAAAGTCCAGGGCTTTCTGCTGAAGACTACTGGAAGTGCCACACGGTATCTCCTGCCACAGGTCACTGTCCAAGCCCTGGTCGTGTGTCTGGGAAAGGCACACCTTCAGCAAGGAACGATAAAGCTGAACAACCTGGGCAGGAAGATAAGCCAGCTGCCATGGGAGCCCATGGGAGGGGTCAAGAAGTTCTCCTGGACCACAAGGATGCGCACGTAAACTGCAGATGAGTCTGGAATGGACGACACTGGCCCACAGAAGCTCTAGGACCCATGTCTGCTAGTGACCATCCTCAGGGAAATTATGTCTGCTGGTGACCATCCTCAGGTGGACCCAGTCTGCTAGTGACCGCCCTCAGGGGACCCTGTCTGCTGGTGACCATCCTCATGGGTCCATGTCGGTGGTAACTGTCCTCAGGTGGACCCGTATCTGCTGGTGTCTGTCCTCAGAGTCCTGTTTCTGTGGTGATCGTCCTCAGGTGCACATCTTGACAGCTCTGTTGTGCTCTGGATGTCCAGCACGGCTGAGAGCCTCTTCCTTCCTGGTGGACATCTCCACCCAGACGCCCTTTTCCACTCCTAATATCACCTCCAGTGCTCACACTCTTCTCCTTCTTCACGGTGTAGCTGAAATGCCTGCACGTCCATGGAGACTTTGTCACATCCACAGACATAAATTTCTCACTCTCTCACCCCACATGGCGTTATATCATCTCTCATGTCACCGCTCTGTGCACACGTCCTTTGATTTGATTGTCATATTCTTCAAGGACAAATGTTTTCTTACTCACCTTCGTATCCTCAGAATTGGCTACAAAAGCTCGGCATGTGGAAGGTGGATGGGTGGAGAGTGAACCGGCAGCACAGGAAGCCGTGAGGAGAGCAGACCCCCTCGCACAGCCTGGACCATCTTCACCAACAAGGCATCAGGAAAGGAGGACCTGAGCTGCGTGTCCGTGGTCCCAGCTGCCATCCCGTCAGATTCTTGATAGTCAGACTAAAAAAAAAAAAAAAAAGTCCCATTTGAGTTCAGCATCACTTGCAGTCACAAAAAAATGACACTGAGATTTTATCTCACTCCAGTTAGAATGGCAATCGTCAAGAATACAAATAATGATAAATGCTGGCAAGGATGTGGCAAAATGGTTCACTTGTATGTTGTTGGTGGGACTGCAGATTAGTTCAACCACTCTGGAAAGCTGTGTGGAGAGTCCTCAGAAAACTAGGAACGCAACCATCATAAAACCCTGCTATCACCATCCTTGGTATTCATCCAAAAGAAGTAAAAGCAGCATACTCTATGGACATAGTCACATAGATGTTTTGGAATCAACCCAGGTGGAAGACAATAGATGAATGGTTTTAAAAAATGTGCTATAGTCTGGGCATGCCTATAATCCTAGCAACTTGAGAGGCTGAGACAGGACGGCTGCAAGTTCAAAAGCCAGCCTCAGCAACTCAGTGAGCCCTAAGCAACTCAGCAAGACCCTATCTCTAAATAAAATATAAAAAAAAAAGGACTGAGGATGCAGCTCAGTGCTTAGGTGCCGCTGAGTTTAATCCCTGGTACAAAAAAAAAAAAGTGCTATATATACACAATGGAGTTTTACTTAGCCATAAAGAAGAATGAAATTATGGCATTTGAAATAAGCCAGACTCATGAAATGAAGTTAAATGTTTTCTCTCCTATGCAGAAGCTAGAGCAAGGTAAGGGGGAAGAAAAGGGGTGGATGAATATGAATGATCAGTGGAGTAGAAGAAGGAGATTTGGGGATGGGAGAAGGGACAAGAAAAGAGAAAATGCAGAATGATTTGACAAAGTTATGCTGTGTGCATACATAAATATATCATAATAAATCCCACTTTCATGTATATCTCTACTGCACCAACTAAAAAGAAATAAATGAACAGACGAGTGGAAGAAAGACCAGTAGATAGGGGAAGTAGACTAGGAGGAAGGGAGGGAGGAGGGTAGGGGGTACACTGGGACCAAAAGGGAGCAAAGTAAATTCCCAGCAAGTATAATTAGGTCAAAATGAACCCAACTATTATATATAATTACAGTGCACCAATAAGATCATAAAAAGTCACATTTGCATATAGAAGGGGGCAATACACCTTTGACACCACAAAAGCTCCTCAAGTAAGTACAGACAAGAGTGCGTGGGTTCCTATTGCAGCACCAGACACTGCATGAAAACCTGGGAGCCTAATGAAAGAACCCAAAGTGCAGAAAATAGGAATAAATAATAAATACTGCAAAAGGAGTGCAAGATTTGTGTGCTAAAAAGTGAAAATAGTATTGAAAAAAATTAAAGAAGACCTAAATAAGTGGGAAGATATAGCATGCCCATGGATTAGAACTATTAATATTCTTAAGATACAGTATTCACCAAACTGATCTAGAGATTCAACAAATATATATCAGAATACAAGCTGCCTTTTCCTTTTTTGTTCTTTCCTTTTATTTTTACAGAAATTGGAAAACTAATCCTAAAATTCATATTTAAATGCAAATGGCCCAAAAAAGCCAAGCTAATCTTGAGAGGAAAAAGAAAAAATAAAGATAGAGGATACATGCTTTGTGATTTTAAGACTTACTCCAAAGTACAAGTACCAGATTTCTGATTCCCATCCTGGCATAGGGACAGACAGAGAGCAAGCGGACGGAACTGAATCTAGAAATAGACCCTTGTATTTATAGTCAACTAATTTTTGACAAAGATGCCAGAACAATTCAATGAGGAAGAATAATCTTTACAACAAGTGCTGGAATAACTAGATATCACATGCAGAAAAGGTGGCTTCAACCCTACCTCACACCATATACAACATTTAACTTGAAATGGATTGTAGACTAGAATTTTAAATCTAAAATATAAAACTTTCTGGAGAAAACCTAAGAGTAAAGTTTAGTGCCTCTCCATTAGGGAGTGATTTAAAAAAAAATATGATGCAGGAAGCATAAGCAAAAAAAAGTATATTGATCTCATCCAATCAATTCATACTTCAAAAGACCCAATCAAGAAAGCAAAAATGCAACTTCAAAACAGGAAGAAATACATGCAAGTCATATGTCAAGAGGGGTCCACTCTGAAACCTATAAAGAATTCCTACAATTCAAAAATAAAAAACAACCCATTAAACATGGGGAAAACTTCTGCATAGATATTCTTCTGCTCATCATGTGGAACATGTGTACATGGACACTCACTAAGCACATGACAAGGAGTTCAGAACCATAGTTAAGGGAATCCACAGTAAGACTCACACTGACATTCAGGGCTGACATAAGACAATAAGAGAAAACAATCACAATGATAACAAATAATAGCAAGAAGTGGCTGGTGGGATTCACCACGAGGCAGGGCCTTCTGAAGACAGCATAGCAGTCCCTCAAAAGGCTGACCTGCAGTTACAATGTGACCCAACAATTCCATTGCTAGGCCTCCATCTAGGGAAGTGAAAACTATCCACATAAAACCTGTATGTGAGTGTCCTAACAGCATTGCTCTCAATCCAAACCAAAAAATGATCCAAATGTCTATCAACCAATGACTCCTTAGACAAAGCCTGGTGTATCCGCACCATGGAGTATTATGCAAACATGGGAAGGAATGAAGTCCTGATCCACACGCTAATGGGCATGAGCCTTGGAAACGTGAGTCAGATAAATCTTTTATCCATAAGTTAGTCTTCTCAGCCACGTCGTAGTGACAGAGAGCTGACCACACGGCCCTGGAGTTTCACCTCCCTGTGTGCAGATTGTAGTGCTGCCTCCCGGGTCCCTGTGGGCATGAACGGACTCACAGCGCCAAGTGCCACACAGACCCCACTATTGGCTAGCTTGCGATTCTCAAACTCTCCTGAGGCTGGGGCACCCCATGGCCTCTCAGGGGGGAAAGTGGTCAGATGTATGGGGCCTTGGCTCGGCCCGTAGTCACCATCCTTGCCCTTGGCTGCTCTCCTGCAGGCTTTCAACTTATGCTGCATTTCACAGAATCCCGCTCATGCAAAGATATTTGAAACTTAATATTTTCATTTTTTTTCCCTGCAAGGAAAAATGCAGTCCAGAGGGCTTACCTGATCTGTGTGGGGACACAGTGGCAAAGATTAGAGCCTCCTTCTAACATTCTTGCTCCTGTGCTTCGTCCACTGCTCTGTCCTTGTTCAAATAGATGCTGGAGTGTTCCGTGAATTATTTAAAAAAAAAAAAATCTCCCAAATTCCCTGCCCCCAGCGTGGGTTCACCTCTGCGAAGGCACAGGGCCCCAGGACTGTGGAGGGAATCCAGAAGGCACCCGTGGTGCTGCAGCTCACGGGGTGGACGTGTGGGCGAGGCTCTGGCACAGGGAGGGGACGTGCCATCTGCATGTCCCACTCCCACCCCTTGGCTCACCATCCGCTGCCTCAGGAGCAGCACCCCCGCGCCCCTCCCCGCGTGGCTCTGCAGGCTCCAGGCCCTCAGGGTAGATGGGCTTCCTCCTGGCACAGAAACAGTGGCCTTAACCTTCACCAGCACTCCCCCTGCCCATGCCCCGTCCCCAGGGACTCACATCCCCCCTTCCAGCAAGGGAGCTCGGTCCTACTGGGTGCAAAGCTGAAGTCAAAGTCTAGATAACCACTGGGCAGGGCCTTTGCAAACCCCCTCCTTCAGAAATGAACTATCATGTGATAGCATGTGTTGGTGAAAACACCCAGGGTTTTAAAGCAGGGAATATTCCAGAAATCCTACTTTTCCTCACCTTATCGGACAGTTCTTTGCCTACAGGAGGCGAAGGCCTCCTCCTTGAAGACTTCAGAGGAAGAAGCATGAGATACATCGGTCGTTCATGGACGCCCTCCACGGCCGAGACAGCCCTGGGCCTTGGGTGGCTCCCAAGCTTGTGGAGGCACCTTATAAATAAAGATGAACACTTCGCAGGTCTGTCACACACAAGCATGGTGTGCACCTGGCCGGTCTGTGTATTCATATGTGTGTGTGCAGGTATGTGTCAATGCACACGTGTGTATGTATATATGCAGATTATGTGTGTGTGTGCTTTATATGTATGCATGTGTGCTTGGTATGTGTCAGCACACACGTGTGTATGTACTTATGCAGATTGTGTACATGTGTGCTTGGTGTGTGTGCATGTGCTTGGTGTGTGTCAGTGCACACATGTATATGTATATGTGCAGATTGTGTGCATGTGTGCTTGGTGTGTGTGTGTGTATGGGTGCTTGGGTGTATGTGCATGTGTGTATGTGTGCTTGGGTGTGTGTGCATGTGTGTGTGCACATATGTGTTTACCCTCAGTTCTGATCACTGTTGGGGACCAGAGACTGTCCCAGCTGGGCCAGAGGGAGTCTGAACAGGACCTCAGCAATCTGGGCAGGACAGATGGGAGCTCTGCCTCCAGGAAGTGAGTGCACTGAGGCTGGAGGCAGGACCCAGGGCCTGCAGTGTCCAGGGTGACAGTTCGTGACGAATCCCCTAGAGCAGCTCCTGGGTCCTAATTGGAACTGGTGCTTTGGCTAATGTTACCCACAGGCTGGATCTGAAACTACAGAAGGTCATGGCAGCATGACCTGAGGGCATTGCCAGCAGGCGTGGGTCGGCACCAGGTGAAGGACCCAGGACCCCATCCCTTGGCTTCTGAAGCCCCGGGGCCTCACTGTGCCATGGGGGCCAGGCCTGTACCTACACTGCAGCTGCTGCATGGGCACAGGCTTTCCAGCTAACTCAGAGTGTAACTATCATTTGCAGGTGACAAAAGAGAGGCACAGCAGGTGACATAAACTCAAGCCCAAGGTCACAGGGCTATGAAAGAGGGACGCCTCATGGTGGTGCTGCCCGCACTGGGTGTTCTGCACCCTCACTCACCCTGGGTGAGCAGGTCACTGCCTGTCAATACCTGGGACCCCTGGCCCAGGGCTGCACCACGCATGGGTCATTCCTGTAAAAGGCAGCGATGTCCCCTCTGCTGTTTAAGTAGGTAGATGTTTTTGCAGAGT